AATATGTTCTCCTATCCCAAGCCTCTGACTACTGCACTCCCCTCAGTTCTGTATGTTACAGATTTGTGCTGACAGCCTGCGTTCTGCTAATCATCCTGTATGATGGGAATATTGTATGATGGGAACCCTAGTGGTGATGGCCTGTATTATAGTCTCTTTCCAGTCAGTCTTCTTTATGGTTTGTACAGACACAGACACACACACAGACACACAGACACACACACACAGACACACAGACACACACTCATTTTTTGGCTAGTCCCAGAATTTGAACTCATGGCCTTGCGCTTGCTCAGCTGGAACATTTGAACCATGCCCCTAGCCCAGGTTTTCACTAATTACTTTGGAGATGGAGTCTTTTGGACTTTGCCTGGACTGGCTGGGAACCACGTTCCTTTGGATGTCAGGATTACATGCATGAGCCACTGACACCCAGCTTCTTTATAACTCATTTTTTTTTTTTTTTTTTGTCGGTCGTGGGGCTTGAACTCTGGGCCTGAGTGCTGTCCCTCAGCTCTTCAGCTCAAGGTGAGCGCTCTATCACTTGAGCTACAGCGCCACTTCCAGTTTTCTGGTGGTTTATTGGAGATAGGAGTCTCACAGTCTTTCCTGCCCGGGCTGAACTGCGATCCTCAGATCTCAGCCTCCTGAGTAGCTAGGATTACAGGCGTGAGCCACCAGCGCCCAGCCTGTCATTTTTTTTTTTGTATTTTTTTTTATTGTAAAAATGCTGTACAGAGGGGTTACAGTTACATGAGCAAGGTAATGAGTACATTTCCTATTGAGCATTGTTGCTGCCTCCTTTGTTTTCTCCCTACTATGCTTCCCTTCCACCTCCACAACTACCCCCCTTTATAACCTTTATACCGTGTAGACACTCTTAGAGCCTTTGGTCTTATCAAAGTTAAAGCAATTAATTTCCTGAATAACTAACTGAATAATACAATTTCCTGATAGTAAATACACCTAAAATCTCTGATTAACATGATAGCTTGGTCAAAAGAGTTGGTTCAGCTTTTTTTTTTTTGGGGTCCAGTCGTGGGGCCTGAACTCAGGGCCTGGGCACTGTCCCTCAGCTCTTCAGCTCAAGGCTAGTGCTCTACCACTTGAGCCACAGCGCCACTTCCGGCTTTTTTCTTATGTGGTGCTGAGGAATCGAACCCAGGGCCTTGAGCATGCAAGGCAAGCGCTCTACCACTGAGCCACCTTCCCAGCCCTGGTTCAGCTTTTATATTCTCAAAACCTAAGAGGAAAAATTTTCCTAAGTATATGTTGAAATTACCTGGCCTTGTTAATTTAGGCCAATTAATGGCATTGGAGAAATGTTTTAAATACATGTGATTCTACATAGTATTTATGATCTTCTTTTCATTTTTTATTTTTTCTCATTTCCTTATCTCAACATGTATTCATGGTAGGAAAATTTTGTGAGTTCAGAGAGTTATGAAAAAACAGAATTGGGGTCGGGGGGAGGGGGGAGGCTGGGAAGGGAGGTGAAGGGTAAACAAAGGAGGAGGCTGCAGTGCTTGATAAGAAATGTATGCATTATCCTGCCCATGTAATTGTAACCCCTCTGTACAGTATGTTCTCAAATAAAATAAAATAAAATTAAAAAACAAAAACAAAACAGAATTGGTTCCCACATTGACCTACAGAATCAGTGCAATCACTATCACAATACTGCTACCTTCTCTGTAAAAATTGACAAGTTGAATCTGATACTGATGGCTCATGCCTGTAATGCTAGCTACTCAGGAGGCGAAGATCTGAGTATTGCTGAATATGGTTTAAAGCGAGTCTGGGTCAGATAAATCCAATAGACTTATTTCTAATTAATCAGCAAAAAGCAGGACTTGAAGGCACGGCTCAAGTGTTAAGAGTAGCAGCTGTGAGTGAAAAGGCTGAGAGAGAGTGAGTTTGAGGCCCCAAGTTCAGACTGCCAAGGTGATTTTAAAACTCACCTAGAAATGCAAGAGACAAACTAGTCCAATAATCTTGAAAAGAAAAAGCTAATGGACACATATGACTTCGTTACAGCTACTGTAGACGGATAGTGTTAGCCTAGGCAAACAGTGAAATAGAATTGAAAAATCTAGAAATAAATTACTATTTATGATTGATTTAAACAAATGTGTCAAGAGAGCATACTGGAGGAAAGAATAGTCATCAGCAAATGATCTGGGACAGTTTTGTGAGTGTGTGGGGAGAGGGGGCATGGGGTCTGAACTCTGGGCCTGGGTGTTGTTCCTCAGCTCTTCAGCTCAAGGCTGGCACTCTACCATTGAGGTATGACACCACTTCCAGCCTTTTCTGCTTATGTGATGCTAAGGAATCAAACCCAGGGCCTCATGCATGCAAGGCAAGCACTCTACCACTGAGCCACCTTCCCAGCCTCTGTGTTTTTTTGTTTTTTTTTTTTTTTTTTAAAATACCAAAAGCTCAAAAAGCTTCCTCAAGATTAAATTATTAAAACAGTGAAGGACAACTCAAAAATGGGTGAGAATATTTTGTAAAGCATATCTGCTAAGTATCCAGTAATAAGAGCATATAAAGAACTCTTGTAACTATAGTAAGAAGACAATATCATTTTTAAAATGAGTAAGGAACTGAACAGTTTGCCAAAGAAAGTATACAAAAATGGCAAATACATAAAAAGCTTGTCAGCATTATTATGAGGCCAATGCAAATAAAAATCACAATGGGGGAGAAGGATGGAAGGGTGATGTTGATCAAGATGCATTGTAAGTATAACTGTCAAGTTGAATTGAAACCCCTTGAACAACAATTTAAAGATAATAAAAATAATAGAAGTCTTGATGACATACCATTTCCTTCCTGATGTTGACTGTAATAAGCCAGGCATGGTGGCTCATACCTGTAATTCCAGTTACTTAAGTGGCAGAGATTGCGAGGATTGTGGTTCCAGGCCAGCGTGGGCAAAAACTTAGCAAGATCCCACGGTAGTTAAAGTTGGGCATAAAAAGTTAGCAATAGCCAGTTGCTGGTGGTCACACTTGTAATTCTAGCCACTCAGGAGGATGAGATCTGAGGATCATAGTTCTAAGCCAGCATGGGCAGGAAAGTCCTTGAGACTCTTATCTCCAATTAACCACCAAAAAACTGGAAGTGGAGTTTTGGGTTAAAGTGGTAGAGTGCTATACTTGAGCAAGAAGAGCTCAAGAACAGCACCCAGGCCCTGAATTGAAGCCCCATGACTGACCAAAAACAAAGAAGTTAGCAGTAGATCAGTGAATAAGCCAGATGGGTGCACTCCTGTGATCCCAGCTATGTGGAAGAGAGTAGGTAGAATCTGGCCATGGCCAGCCCCAAGCCAACATTGGAAACTGTACTTGAAAAATAAAGCAAAAAAGGGCTTGGCTGTGGCTTATGAAAGAGGGCCTGTCTAGCAAACACAAAGCTCTGAGTTCAAACTTTAGTACTACTTCTTCATGCTGCCCCTTCCCCCAAACACACACAAAAGAACTGGACGATAGGGCTGGGAAGGTGGCTCAGTGGTAGAATGCTTGCCTCGCATGCATGAGTCCCTGGATTTGATTCTTCAGTACCACATAAACAGAAAGGGCCAGAAGTGGCACTCTGGCACAAGTGTTAGAGCCTAGGTGTCCCTCAGCTTAACAGCTGAGGGAGGGACAGTGTCCAGGCCCAGAGTTCAAGCCCCAAGACTGACCAAAAAAAAAAAAAAGAACTGGACAATAAAAAGTGCAACTGCTTTTGTCACATGATGCCATGGTCCATTGATACCCAACAAATCTAGTGTATACAGTAAAACATCAGCCTGGAAAATACCTTATAATGGCTAGATTTGCTGTTTACCTCTTCACATTTCAAAGCAGGAGAGCATAAGTTTAGAGGTTTTATCCTATTTGTTCCTTTATTGGTGTTTCTTTCTGTTTTTTTTTTTTTTCCTCCCATCATGGGGCTTGAACTCTGTGCCTGGGTGTTGTCCCTCAGCTCTGCAGCTCAAGGCTGGCGCTCTAATACCTGAGCCACAGCACCACTTCTGGCTTTTTCTGTTTATGTGGTGCTGAGGAATCGAACCCAGGGCCTCATGCATGCAAAGCAAGCACTCTACCACTGAGCCACCTTCCCAGCCCTGGTGTTTGTTTCTTAATGACTCAAATGTGAAAATGAAATGTTTTTAAAAATCTTCATCTTGAGGTATTTATTTTCTGGTTGTATTCTTTTATCATATAATTAAAGAAAACTTATTAATTTCCAATGAAGATTCTTGTATCTTGGCCTTGGCTGAAAAGCCGTTCTGGTTCAGTTCTCGGTAGCACTGAAGTATGAATGTCCAAATCAAGTATTTATTTTTTCTTCCCCAGAAAAATGCTCTCAAAATTCAACTTTAATATAGTAATTATTTTTACTCAGGTATCATAATCTTGTTTGATTTTTTTTGAGTTTTTTTTCTTTTGAGACAAGAGTCTTGCAGTACTTGATAGTAGTACATGGTTGCTAAGCTGTATTTCAGAATAATTTTATTTTATTTTATTTATTTATTTTTGGGTCTGGTCGTGGGGCCTGAACTCTGGGCCTGGGCGCTGTCCCTCAGCTCTTCAGCTCAAGGCTAGCGCTCTACCACCTGAGCCACAGCGCCACTTCCGGCTTTTTTTCTTTTTGCTTATGTGGTGCTGAGGAATCGAACCCAGGGCCTCAGGCATGCAAGGCAAGCGCTCTACCACTGAGCCACCTTCCCAGCCCTTCAGAATAATTTTAATGTGGAAACACCAAGCTTGGATATTTGAATTCCAAGAAATAGGTTATTTTTGTCCTTACTATATAATCTCAGAGTTTATCCTAAGCTTATGCCTTGCATATCATAATTTCTCAATGTTTGTTATATAAATAAATTATAGTCATTTATATCTTTTACATGCACTATTTTGTCACCTACTGTCCATTTAGCAAAATTGTTCCGAATGGATAACACTGTACAATACTTTTACTTAATGTTTTTGTCTTTTTTTTTTTTCTAGGTTGGTATTTTGTATGGCATCTATTTTTATCTAAATTCAAGTTTCTTCGAGAACTGGTGGGAGATACTGGATCCCAGGAGGGAGATCATGAGCCTTCAGGGTCTGAAACGGAAGAAGACCCATCAGCCACTGCACACAGGTTACGATCTGCTCGTCAGCGCCGGGCACCTGCTGATGAAGGCCACTGACCCCAGACATGGGCTCTATTCCTGAGTAAATGGTAAAAGGCAGTTATAAGCCTCTGTCTTCAGTGATGTGACTTTGAAATTTACTAAATGACCGAACAGCATTTCTACTTGGATTTTGTGTCCAGTTCAAAAACAGATTTACACATAAGCCATATCGAAATAAAGGGAATTGAAACAAGTTAGACCCTGAAAATTTCATCTTAAGAATATTTTGCTTCCCTAGCTCTCTACTTAACGCAGTTGTTCCTTATCTCTTGGGCTATCTTTTTTATTTTTGCACTGATATGAATCTGGTAAACATTTCAAGCTTGAAGAAACATTTTATTGGACAGAAAATGTACTGTTTGGCTGACATTGTAATGTGTCTGAATTTGGGATGCATTTCATGACTATCAGTGGTGGTTCATGTTATTTCCTAGCCATGCATGCGTGAAGTCACAGCTCGTCCCATTGTCATCGCCTTCACCTGTGTGTGTGTGCTTGTCATCAAAGGCGTTTAGAAATGCCTACACTATGATTCAGCATGGGAATGCATACAAATGCAACAGCAGGGTGTACATTTGATATTAGCGAAGCAAATATTCATCGTTGAAGGAATGACCAGCATTCCTTATTTTCTTACGAGGCAACAACAAGAAAATGCATTACAGGACCTAAAAGGAAGATCCCCACAAATAAATGAAATTGTACCATGTTTTGGCAATGAGGCAGGTATAAAAGGAATGCCCGTCACAGGCCAAATGGTGCAACTGAAGGCAGGAGAAATTGCCAAAGCCCTTGGAATCCATGAAGCAAAATTGAAAGCAACAGAAAGCTGGTGTGACCAATGCAGCATCAAGCAGGATTGCCATTACGGTATTAGTATTTTATCCAAAGCTTCTTGCTTCCATTCAGTGGAAGACAGGGTTGGAGCCCTTCTTCAGGAAATGCTGCGTCTCAGTACTCTTGACACCAAGGACTATGTGTGGGAAAAGCAGCCACTGCATTTAAAAAGTGATTCAGAAGAGTTGGACTCAGAATATGAAGTTATAACTTAACCAATTGCTTTTCCCTTTTCTTTAGGTATACACAAAATTGATGTGGTGAGCATCTGTTTAACTTTAGGAGCACCCTTTCAATAAGTATCAAAGAAACAATTTCTGTGATACAAGGCATGTGTTGTAGTTAACAGGCAGCATTTTTTCTTAGCAATGTACAATGGTGCATCTTAACAATGAATTGCCTCTTAGATTAGGTAAAACATGATAGTTTGTAAGTTTATTTTTCTTTTCAAGGTAGCAGTTATTTATTGGGGAACTGAATTCTATCCCTGGTAATAATGTTAAAGTAGCTACCTTCTCTGAAATACATTTTGGGGGCAAGCTGTTCAGGATTTGAGGTGTCGTAACTTTAGTGTTAGTAATATTATCTACTGCTTTAGGAAGACTTAAGTCTGGTCACTCCTTTTGTATGTGAGGACTTCATGCCCCAGGAATGCGTTCTGGAGAAACAGTTGGTCTTCACAAATAATAGTTCAGTGATAAGCCCTCCAAGGTATTGGATACTTAAAAAACAAAAAAACAGCAGGCAAGAACACCTGCTGAACGGGTCGGAATGACTCTTGCCAGCTTTCCACGTTTGTCTGACTGAACTTTGGACTGTTTACTAGGGAACAGATATGGATTAACCAATCTTGTTTAGTGTTCCCAGCTTTGTACAGAAGTGAAATGCAAAGCCAGTTTATTTTGTTAATCAGAGTTTTTTATTTTTAACCTTTATTTTGGAAGAGCTGGTTATCACCTCTCATGGTGTGTAACTGTGTTGATACCTCATTCTTCATGCTGACAGCTTTTGTTTTTGTGACTAGTTCACTGGCTCTGCCCCAGGTTGTATACCTGTTGAACACCTCCTAAATGATATTGTGTCTCATTGGGCATTTTGAAAGGGAATCCACAAGGCAGAACTTTACATATTTGCTGGGAGATTGCCCAGTATCTGAGAGTGGGGTGCAGTCATTTTATTCTAATTTCCTTAGTGGATGTATGGTTACTTGAGGGCATAGAAAACAGTGACATAGATCCTACTGTTAATTGTAATATGTCATATACTAGCTGAATATTACATTGAAATGGTCATTCATTAAAAAAAAAGATTAATACCCCAAAGCATCTTGGTATAGGAGTATATCTGCATTAAAATATTTCATATTTTGTTTTGTGTTTTGTAGTGGCTGTCCTAAGGTTTAGATGATAATAGTTGTTGTAAAATGTTAGCTTGTGAGCTTCTTGTTGTGTCAGTATTAAAGAATGATGGCTGATGTTACCTGCCCCCCCATAGTCACACCCACATTATTCTTGGTAAAGATACATATGTTGGACATGTTATATTGGCATTTGTGTGTTAAACGTATCTTTGTAGCATTTTAGGAAATGATCTGCATTAATGATATGCTCTAGAGGCATATTGACAGCTCATACTGGCTGTGTTGATCTCACTTGGGAAAGGTAAGGAGGAATTGCTGAAGCCAACACGAAAGTCCACAAACTAATTTTTTGTTCAAAAGTTCTCTTTTTGTGCATCCACTTTCTGTAGTGTGTATTTCTGAGGCACTAAGAGAGGAGAGGGAAATAGCTGTTCATGCAGAATTATTTGTGTGATACGTTATTTTGGTTCTTTTTCCTGTTCTGTGATAGTATTTTATTTTAATTGTGAAAATACCGTACAGAGGGGTTACAATTGCCTGAGCAAGGTAATGAGTACATTTCTCATCAAGCATTGTTGCCTCCTCCTTGGTTTCCCCTTCCCATCCCTTCCCATCTCCTCCCCCCACACCCCCATGTGATAGTATTTTTGTAACCAAACTTACTAGAACTGTTTCACAACTACATATTCAGTCTGTCAGTGGCCTGTGATTATTTTTAAAGTTTAAAAGTTACAAGCATTAAAGTATGTACCAATATTTGAATCTTGCCTGAATTATTCTACAAAATGGTGAATTAATTCTATGACTGAGAACTCAGGTAGATTGTTCCATTTCCTTCTTAGCCATCTCCAAATCTCTCTTTCTCTTGCTTCAGTTTTTTGTGAAAATTGCTTGTACAGTAACATTGCTCAGATTTAAATGCCAAAACACTAAACATTTGAAGAACACTGTTCAGTGAGGCTTTAAGTATATGCCTCCAGTTAACTGTAGAACTTGATGGATCCCATAGTGGAAACCAGTATCCTTTTGCATTGGATCGCCATCTTACACATGTAGATGGAGTTAGGCTCAAGAATCACTTCATAATACTTTGTTGAAAAATTTGGAATATAAAGTAATAGATTTACCGTCTGAAGCTTTGAAAACATGTTGAAAGATTTGAAAGTAGTGCATTTTCCTTTTAAGACTAATTGTAAGTCAACAAAGCAGTCTTAAGTCAGTTTTTTCTCCACAAGTATCTTTTATGTTTATTGTAAGCAAATGTAACAAGATTTTGACTGGTTAAGGGCTATTATATATATTTGAAGTTGACTTTGAGAAGCCAGTGAGCAGTTCTCAACATACAGACTCTCAGACAACTAATAGAATAGTGCTTGGTCATGGAGTTTAGAATTAAAGCACCTTGTTTTGTCTTGCTTTTAAAATATCCCAGAGCTTTGAACTTAAAGAGCAACATTCATCTGCTATTACTAATGGTTGCACTTTCCCATTGTTAGTGTACATGTGCTACCTGTCTTACAAAGAGTATCTAACATCTCCCTCCAAGTTGGTTCTATGCATAACCATTCATCAAGCACTGCTGCTGGTTCCTTGAAGGAGCCCTTTGTGCTGGGCTCTGGTGGCATTGCCATCTTGCTGCTTGACAAGTAGGTTCTAAGGAACTAGAAGTGTGTGTGTGTGTGTGTGTGTGTGTGTGTGTGTGTGTGTAAGAGTACCTTTGTAAACCAACATGTAAAACTAAAGATGAGAAATGTGTGTATATGATCAGGTTTCTGTTTTTAAATTGGTCAGTACTAAAGTTTCTGTGGTTTGTATGTCTTAACTTTCACTTTAAAATGCACAAAATAAATAAAATAAAAACAAGTATCTGTGTCATTTATCAAGGATAATAATTTTGGGAGGCACTTGAGTATGAAAGGATTTGAAAGAAGCCATTTTGATTAATTGTAATTTCTTTGCTTGTCAGCACAAGGGAAGAATGATTCCAGATTTCAGTCCCTCTTGGCTAGGAGAGGGGTGGGGTGTTTGGTGATGCAGTTCACTTTGTGACTAACTTAAATCAACAGGATGTAACAGGACAAGGCCGGGACAAGATATAGCCCTATGCCAAATACTCACCGCTAATGGCCTGCTTCCTCCAGCCAGGCCCTGCGTCCCATAGTTCTATCACCTTCCAGCCTATGCAGATTTTGAATCCATTATTAGGTCAATGTCTTCATGGTTTCATTGTGTTTTGGAGATGCCCTGACAGACACCCAAAGGTGGGTTTTACTAATCTAAGCATTTCTTAAGCCAACCAAGTGGATAAATTAACCATTACTAAAATCTGTAATGGAAAGGATTGTAGCATCCCTTAGTGCTGTGGAAGTAATTGATGTAGAACCTGAAGGGCTATTATAGCATTGGAGCTGTATTATTGCATTTATCAATTTGGTCTTTTTACCTTCTCATCCAGTATCTTCAGGGTTATTTTCATAATGTTTACATAGAGCCCATTTTTGTGAGGATTAACCTTGAGGATGATTGAGGAAACTGAGTAAAGCTAAATAAAAACATTGAGGAAGGCCTTGGAGCTCCCATTTGAGATAAAACAAACATTTTAATGGCTGGGACCCAGGTTGTGAGTTTTCTTCAGCTGTGTTCAGCTACAAAGAGTATAGGCTAGGAGGAAAAGAAGTATTTGCCAGGGCTTATGGTAGGAAACATGAATGGTGGATAGAATATGAAGTTGGAGGAGGACACCAGGACTTCAGAGGGGACCCCATTTTAAGCTAGTGTATCAGATCCAGCATAGACGAGGGGGGGGAGTGCAGTCAGATAGGGTTTTTTTTGTTATTTATTAATTTTTTTGGTGGTAGTGGGGCTTGAACAGGGGCTTAGGCCCTGTCCCTGAGCTCTTCAGCTCAAGGCGAGTGCTCTACCACTTGGGCCAAAGCACCACTTACGGTTTTCTGGTGGCAAATTGGAGATAAGAGTCTCATGGACTGCTGGGAAGGTGGCTCAGTGGTAGAGCGCTTGCCTTGCATGCCTGAGGCCCTGAGTTCGATTCCTCAGCACCACATAAGCAAAAAAAAAAGCTGGAAGTGGCGCTGTGGCTCAAGTGGTAGAGTGCTAACCTTGAGCTGAAGAGCTGAGGGACAGCGCCCAGGCCCAGAGTTCAGGCCCCACGACCGGACCCATAAAAAACAAAAAAACAGTCTCACGGACTTTGCTGTCCAGGCTGGCTTTGAACTGTGATCCTCAGATCTCAGCCTCCTGAGTAGCTAGGATTACAGGTGTAAGCCACCAGCGCCTGGCTCAAGTCAGATATCTTGGACCATCAACATGGCCACTAATACTTTCACATGATGGCTAGAATTGGGGTAGAAGATGACCATGAATCAGGAAGGTCAGGGACTTGGAGGACTGAACTCAAGATTTGAAATGCTAAGTGGCTCTTAAGAAGAGTTTATTGAAAATGAAGAAGGTTCTTGCTCCCATCTTTTTTTCCCTAGTATCTCAATAAGCCATGAGCCTTAGACATACTACATATGAGAAAGTACTTCAGCTATAAATTAAATGATGGTGTTTATGGAAGGAAAGTAGAAAGAGCAACACAAGCTTCACTAAGGATCTTGGAGGAGGAGATCACAAGGTGGATGATGAGAAGAGGGTTTTAGATGAATAAATCACACGTACCAAGGCAGGGTCATGAAAAAATGCCTTGTTCAGAGAACTCTAGAAAGTTGATTTTACCTGGAATTAAGTATGCCTATGGGAACACTAATTTAGGACTAGAGATGAATGAAGGTTTAGGTAATGAAAGACCTGTACAACATCAGGCTTTGAAGTTTAAGCTCTATGTAACAGAATACTGAAATTCTCTTTTTGAGACACTATCTCACTAGTTAGTACAGGCTGGCCTCAAACTTAAGATCTTTCTGCTCCAGCCTTAAGTTAGCCAGAATTACAGATGTGTCACCATGCCTGGATTGAAATATATTTTATATGGAACGAGCACAGATTCACACTACATATTGAATGATTACTCTTCCAGGTATCTGAATGGTACAGATGGCTTAGAAAGCACATGCTACATCACTGAGGGCAGATCACACTCTCAATGGAGATGGTGTCTTAACTGGTCCAAGCAAGTAAACAGAGAACTAGTAGCAGACTGGGGGCAAGTAATAGCCATGGGGAGTTTGAGGATGAAGAATCAGAATTTGAGATTGGGCCTGGGAGGCAAAGGAAGCAGAAGCAAAGGATGACGTCAGTATTTAAGCTTGAGGTTGATCACACTGAGTGAGGAATATAGAAGAAACAGATTTGAGATTGGACATAGGGAGAGGGGAGTCCACTTAGGGGCAAATGTATTGAAATTTGAGGTACTTCTTAACCATGAAGATAGAATTACCCAACTTGTAAAGCTAGTGTGAGAAACATGAGTTGGAACAAAATAGAGCGATTACAAGAATATAGATGCAATTGAAGCAATATTAAACATTTCTCCAAGGATGGGTGGGAGGCGAGACCTAAGAAGTGCACTGCTATGGTTTCTCTTAGCACAATTAAGATGCATAGACTTTGCCAGAGAACCACGCAGACATCCAGGTACAGAGAACAAAGGTTTATTGCCTGGAAAGGGGGCCAGCAAGACTCCACAAGGGAGGAATGAGAAGAAGCACTGGCTGTTGTGTGGGGTGACCTATATAACCTGGAAGGTTTAGGAGGGGCTAGAAGGGGTTAGGAGGTGAAGACCTGGTGTGGACGTGCAGGCCAGGGGCTTCATCATGGTGGACTAGAATTTATGGCTGCTGTCCAAATGGTAGATAAAGGGTCCTGCAGCTGCCCAGACCTGAAGGTCACTCTTAAGGGGCTCTTGATGCCTTATATAGTGGTAGCTGCCTCAGAGGAGTGTCATCCCAAGGTAAGGGGGCTAGAAGTTGATTATTTACTGCCTTTACTAGGTGGGCCTAGGGCCTAGCGCTGCCTAGGAAGGGAGCGTGCTAAGCTGTGGAGAAGGGAAGGAGTGAACTAAGCTATGGGAAGAGACTCATTTTCCTAACAGTTTCCATGTTTGTTTGTTTTGTTGTTGTTGTTGGTCATGGGGCTAGAACTCAGAGCCTTAGAGCTGTTCCTGGCTTTTTCTGCTCAAGGCTAGTGCTCTACTTCAATGCCACTTCCTGGTTTTCTGGTAGTTAATTGGAGATAAGAATCTTATAGGGCCAGGTGCCAGTGGCACACGCTTGTAATCCTAGCTACTCAGGAGGCTGAGATCTGAGGATCTCGGTTCAAAGCCAGCCTGGGCAAGGAAAGTCTATGAGACTCTTATCTCCAATTAACCACCAAAAAATCCCCCAAAACTAAAAATCAAACAAACAAAAAAAACTGGAAGTGGTGCTGTGGCTCAAGTGGTAGAGATTCACCTTCAGCTGAGGAGCTGAGGGACAGTGCTCAGGT